TTATAATTGTATCGTTTTTTTCTTCTGGTTTTGATAAATTACTGTTAACATAGAATATATATTCTCAGCCGCAGTTAAACACATATTTAACGCAGAAAATTGACTAGGAAGCAATTACGCGGCTCTGATGCCAATGTTAACTAAAACACACTAACAAGGACATAAATTTGTACCTGTTAACGCAGCGGAATCAAATCTCACTCGGAAAATCGCCCCTAAGTCCACTTTATCACTTGGAAACAAAGCAAAATTGCCACGGAACTAAATATCTTCTTGTGTTTATTGGGAAGAGATGAGAAATAAATTTTGATCACTCTCTTACTCTTATCTCTGTTGTGTGTCAAGAAAGAAGAAAGCATACGTTTATATGGAGAAGAAAAATAGCAGTTATGGAAAAATTGCTCCCACTACACTTAAACGTGTAGTAACCTCTTTGAAGAGTCCCACTACACTTAAACGCGTAGTAACCTCTCTTAAAGAGGTTATTTCAAACCCTATCTCTTCTAAAATTCTTTCTTTTCCAAATGGGTTGGGCCGGGCCACATGGAAGCGACCCGATACCCGGATCCGATATCCAACAAGCTGTATGTACAGTAGTGTACTTATACAAGCTACAGTATAACCAACTAAGTAACTCTCTTAACAACCTACTAACCGCCTTAGGATAAATAGACTAATCTACCCTTAATTATCTAAACTAACTTCATGTAATGCCTTTATTCTCAACAGTATTAATTCTTCACAATTAGCATGCAAAGCACCATTGCGGATCTTCTCTATGTGTATTTATACCTTTAAGTTAATTTTAGATAATACTCCTAGTATAGCATTTTGTGCAAAATCGACTAACCAACAACAACAACATATCAAGCATATTCCGACAAAGTAAGGTCTCAGGAGAGTAAAATATATGTAGACATAACTCCGATTTTTATGAAGGTAGAGACGCTATTTTCAATGGACCCCCACGCTCCAAAAAAAATTAAAAGAGGCTGACAAAATAAGTAATAACAATAACAAGATAAAGAGATATAGTGTTAGAATAATCAAATCGAAAGAAATAACAAAAAGCAAAAGAAATCTGAGAATAAAAAACTATAATATACGAGACAAATACTAATGCTACCGGCACGAAAGGAGACACATTTGTGAAAAATAGACTAATTTGTTAAGAAAAGCACATCGAGCGAGACAAAAAATAATCATAGCGTGCTGTTTTGTATTAAGTTTAGTTGTTATATAATATAATTTTAAAAGAATCACAAGAAGCAACCATGTGATAGTAATTAACTATACTACTACAACAACAATTACAATCCAGTAATATCTCACGTGTGGGGTTCGGAGAGGGTGGTATGTACGTAGATCTTACCCTTACCCTAGGAGTAGAGATGTTCTTTCCGAAAGACCCTCGGCATAAGGAAATGAAAAAGACGCAATGGAACAATAACGACCACTTACATTAGGAAGACAGTGCCAGCAACCTAAGAATCAAAAAAATAAATGAAAAAGGCAGTATCGATAATCAGAACAATGGAAATGTACTAGGCAATCGGAGCATAAAACAGTAAAGACACAACAAGTACCACTAACAATCTAAAGCAGGACACGACGAACTAGCCTAACACTCTTAACGGGGAAGAAAAACGCTCAACTACCTACGACCCTGATGCTCGCCCTACAAATAAGGTCATGTCTTCGGTGAGCTGGAGTCGCGCCGTGTCCTGCCTGATCACCTCTCCTCAATATTTCTTAGGTCGCCTTCTACCTTTCCTCATACATGACAGGGCCAACCACTCGCACCTCCTAACCGAGGCGTCAAGGCTTCTCCTCCGCACGTGTCCGAACCATCTAAGCCTCGCTTCCCCCATTTTGTCATCCATGGGCGTCACCCCCACCTTAGCCCGAATATTTTTATTCCTAATCTTATCCAACCTAGTATGCCCGCACATCTACCTCAACATCCTCATCTCTGCTACTTTCATCTTCTGGATATGAGAAGTCTTGACTGGCCAACGCTCTACCCTATACAAATAACGTATTTGCATGGAAAAGTGTGGACCGACCAAAAAATGAAAGAAATATGCAATACGGCGTCGATACGGCAAAAAACCTTGTTATAGACATTAAGTACTTAATAGATAATACTAATTTCGAAAACAATGTATAAGTATTCTTAAACCCTGATAACGTACAGCGTAATCTTTTACACAATGACTAATTTAGAGATATTAGCAACTACTGGTAGGACAAAAGAAGTTAAGTTGAAATTACTGCTTTCCTATCGGTTTGTTCCTTTTCAGTTTCTTAAGTGAATTCAATTTTCGTCCTAAAATTTGGATATAAATTTCATATATTAAAAATTACTTCAGTATTTTTGAGAGTCAGAAACGAAATGAAAAATATTTGCAATACCATATTTAACCTTTCTCATACCTAACTCCATTAGGACCACTTTGCATATTTTAGTTTTCTTGGTACAATTAGGACAAGTTGTTAGTATTGCAATACGTATTCCGAGATTTTTCCACTTGTGTGGTATTGGCCATCTCCACCTCACTTTGCCCTATCAATTTAGGATATTACTATAATGAAGATGCCTAAGGTTCTTGACATCTACTATGCACAGAGGTAGAGGCGGATGTAGCTCTTGGCTATAAATTCAGCTGTATATAAGTATGTCTTTAATAAAAAATAAATTTGGACCCATAATTTTAATATTATAATGAATTCAATACTAAAATTATTAAAAGTTGAACTTATTAAATTTAAATTTTGAGGCCACTTTTGCACAAAAGCAAATTCAAAATTTTGAGTGCAGAATATCATTAGGTACATTTCATGCGTGGTATCTACACTAATATTTCGTTTCACAAAAGTACCTAAATTTTATTTTGTAACTACAAATATACTTATACTACACCTATGTGTAATAGAAAATAGCAATCACCGAAAACGTCATATTTCCGGCCAATAACTACTAATTTCTATATAAAATATTCTTAAAAAGTCTGATTTTTGTTATTGTCCATTTTTAGAACATATTTTTGTTATGGTATTCAATGAGATTCGTTATTTTTATAGATCAAGAGTAGCATTTGAACTTAAGAAGATGAAAACAACAATGGATGAAAATAAAAGCTCTAAAGGAAGAAACTTGAAAATAGTCAGTGAAATAGTCGAGGTATGCACAAGCAAACTCGAAATCGTTGCTCTAAACAAAAAGTTACTATTTTTAAGAAAGTGAATATTATTTTAGGTAAATCCAAATACAAAAGTTGGAATATTTTGTCCGAATTGCAGGACAAATCGAATAAAACTTACTAGAACTAGTGCAAATATAGTTGTAGTTTGATACTATGAGATTGTATGATAACCCTCATTCCCTCAAAATATATAAAGGCCTCACATTCGAATATTAAAAAATGTGAAAATAACTTATAATTAAAAAATAGTCAGCTTTTACAAAGACATTGAAAAATATTCACTATTTTGCTAAGCACGGAAAGTTCCAGCATAATATGCTGGATTACAGAGCTCATGTGTATAAACTTCCAGTATATTATGTTTGAACTCCAGCGTACGGAAAGTTCCAGCATAATATGCTGGATTATGGAGCTCCTGCATATAAACTTCCAGCATATTATGTTGGAACTCTAACACATTATGAAATTCTAGCACATTATGCTGGAATCTCATATGTAAAAAATTAAACTCCAGCATATTATGTTGGAACTTTTTTGGATTTTTAAGGGTGTTTTTGTTCATATTTTATTTTTACATGAAAATATGGCTAAATTTCGATTACTTTTGAAACTGTGGCTATTTTATCAGTTGTAAATCTGGCTATTTCTGTTTTTTTTTTCCTTAAAATTTTGTAAGGCTTCGGCTAATGACACCAGGTGGCCACTCTAAAGAGTTGTTGTTTAGGAATTAGCCAGTGATCCTGAATTTCAGTTTTTCAAGATAAAAATATCCTGAGTTGTCCTGAAGTTAAGATTTTTAGTTTAAAATTTCAGGATAAAATATGTATTGGTTAATCTCTAAATATCATCTCTAAGAATGGCTATATGTGCACTTGCGCCTTCGCGATTTGCCCATTGGGCCTTATTGTCCTTAACCAAAAAATATCTACACATTTTCCCACTTATAAGTATGAAACATTGTATCTTCAAATTCTCGTAAAACCTTATCTCCTTAATGCCTTGGCCATGGTCTCTAATTCTTGCTTATAGTGTCACATAAAATGGAATGAAATGACAAAACTGGTTATACTAAAACTTATAGGGCTTTGGTTTTTGCAACTTCGGCTAAGCCTTTTAAGATCTTTTCTGAAACAAGCAACATGGCCTTTCCTATTTGGGCCTTGTATCCCTTAATCTAAGAAATATCAACCCACTCTTTTTCGCTACAAGTAACTTAAATAGCTGGCTACCTAAGCGCTTAAATTTAAAATAGACGACTAATATATAATATATTTATAATCCATGTATAATATATGTATAATTATTGTATAATCTATGTATACTGGCTCAAAAAAGTAAACAGAGAATTCGACCAGCTATTTGTATAAAGATCCCTTATAAATATGAACACTATAATCTCTCATTCTTGCTTATAGTGTCACATAAAATAGACCAGAGTAAATAATAAAATGAAGTCTTTACACAAATAACCAGTCGGATTAACTATCTACTTTTCCTAGCTGATAATAGCCTGATATACACAATTATGCACTGATCATATATAATTATATACGTATTATACATGCATTTTTCATATATTATATTATGCATCATTATTTTTAGTTTAACCAATTGCATGAGCGGCTATTAAGATTAATTCTTCTAAGAAAATTGGCTATTTGTTTTTTTCAAATTTGGCTAAGCCTTTCAAACATGGCCTTTCCTATTTGGGCCTTATTCTCCTTAACCTAAAAAAAAATATCTACAGATTTTCCACTTATAAATATGAACATGTTTGCCTATAAACATTGTATCTTCAAATTCTTGAAAAAAACCTTATCTTTCCGCCTTAGCCATAGCAAAAACCATGGCTTCTTCTTCAGTTTCTTCTCTTCATTTTCTCTTCGTCACCCCTCAAACCCCTTCTTCTCTAAAACCCAATTCCACACTTTCCTTCTTCTCTCTTCCTTCCTCTTCTCTGAATCTTTCTTTATCTTCTTCTTCAACAGGCCTTTGTTCAATTAAGCCTTTTGAATCTTCGTTTACGACTCGCGTTGCGCTATCTGATTTTGACCAATTGGAAGATGATGTTGAAGTAGCAGAACAACCCCGTTTTTCTGAAGACCTTAAACTCTTTGTTGGTAATTTGCCTTTCAGTGTTGACAGTGCTGCTCTTGCTGGCCTTTTCGAACGTGCTGGAAATGTCGAAATGGTTGAGGTAATTTAGCTAAATACTACCAATTATTCCTTTGTTTTAAAGCGTAATTAAATAGTTAAAATTGTGCCATGGCATATTTAAAAGTGTCTACAGTTTAAGCATTTATATGTGGTGGTTCGCTCACTTCAAGAGAGCCGAGGGTCTATCGGAAATGGCCTCTCTACCTTCATAAGGTAGTGTTAAGGTCTGCGTAATATACCCTCCCCAGACCCCACTTTGTAGAATTACACTGGGTTTGTTGTTGTTGTTGGTTCACTCAATTCAAGACTTAAAGGAGTAAGCTTTGATTTGGAGTGGAGTGCCCTTCTTCAGATTCCTTTGAATTGCTGTGTTGGTCATATTTGAACGTTATTAACTGGAAATGGATATTTTAAGGTTCTTAAATGGTCATTTAATAGGTAATTACAAGTAACTCTACTTAATAAACATTGATAGGTAACCTAGAAAATGGTAAAGAAATCTGCTATAACATGTTAAATCACACTGATGGTGGAAATTTCATTATACTGACAGTGTATATAACTTAAATCGTAATTGGAAACATGACCAGTGAGTAAGTTGCTATGAAACTTTTTCAGTGTAGCAGTAATTCTTTTGTCCTGCTTGCTCAAGTTTCTTTGGAGAAGGCACCCTTTGTTTTGTACATTCCCTGTAGTGAGCTCAACAGAGTTTGTTTTGGGCGAGAAGGATTGACTAGGAGGGTAATGAAGTAGTGAATTTTTTGCAGGTTATATATGACAAGCTCACTGGAAGAAGCAGAGGGTTTGGTTTTGTGACAATGTCTACGAAAGAGGAAGTTGAAGCTGCTGAACAACAATTCAATGGATATGTAAAGTCTTGCCCTTTCTGCTCGTTATCCATTGTTACTATTAAGTGTACTTATATAACAACGGTTGTCTAAAATTTCCATGGTTTTGGTTAATCTCAAAGACTGTTAAAACAAACTATATTCGTTAATTAACTTTTTCTAGTCTCACTTTCAACTTGCAATTTGTATAATCTTAAGATTTTGGATATGCTCTCAGTTGCAACGATTTGATTTTGATATCTAAGCGAACATTGTGATGTCAATTTTTGCAGGAAATTGACGGGAGGGCAATAAGGGTGAACGCAGGGCCAGCACCAGCCAAAAGGGAGAATTCTTCGTTTGGAGGTGGAAGGGGTGGAAATTCTTCATATGGAGGTGGAAGGGACGGGAATTCTTCTTTTGGAGGTGCACGGGGTGGGAGAAGTGTTGACAGCAGCAATAGAGTATACGTAGGAAACCTCTCGTGGGGTGTCGATGACCTGGCACTTAAAGAATTGTTCAGTGAGCAAGGCAATGTTGTGGATGCCAAAGTAGTCTATGATAGAGATAGTGGTAGATCAAGGGGCTTTGGATTTGTAACATACAGTTCGTCCAAAGAGGTCAATGATGCAATTGATAGCTTGAATGGTGTTGTAAGTATATTCTTACTATGCCTGATTGCATATCTTGATTCGTGGACCGATATATTCATGCCTGTAGATATTAGTTGTTTTTGTCCTTTAGGTATCTGAAAGCACTTTTTTGCATCTTTCCTCCTATATGTGTTGGACTAATTGGACCAGAATTAACTAGTTACATTTCTTCTAACTAGTGATGTAGATGCTTTATAGTAACCATTCTTGAGTTTCAGCTTTTTCCTATTTGGATTTCTTCTAACTTTGCATCTGCTGTAATATTGTGGTGCAGGACCTTGATGGCAGGTCCATACGCGTAAGCGCTGCTGAAGAACGGCCCAGGCGTCAATTCTGAATGTGTTAAACTACATCTTTTTGACTGAGGAAAAGCTTGAGGTAAACAGCTCGCGCGTTTTGGTTTCAAAATTCTGCCTAGTCTTTTCAAATGCAGAGCTGAGAATACATCAATATCTATTCGTATACTCTAAAGATCAGTAACCTTTGAAGAACCCCCCCCCCCCCTCCCCACCCCCCCCCCCCCCCCCCCCCCCGCCCCCCCCCCCCTCCCCCCCACCCCCCCCCCCCAACCCCCCAATACACACACACACACACAACAAAAACAAGAGTCAGTTTTTGATAATGGTACCAAAAAAAGGGAAGAGAAAGGAGGATGAAAGTTGAAAAAGCTCAATCTACCATATGCCGTACTTGGTTACAGTGGCGAATCCAGGAATTTCCTCAAGGGTGTTCAAACTTGAAATTAGTAAAAAAAATTCCGACAAAGGGTGTTCAATATATGTTATTTACCTTTAAAACCTGATATTTTACCTATATACGCAATATAATTTCTCGACGAAGGGTGGTCAATTGACCACCCTAAGCAAAGTGTGGCTTCGCCCATGCTTGGTTATTTTAAGTTTTAGCACTCGCCAAAGGTGATTTTGCTCTAACGAATGTATATTCTACATGGCAGGGCTTCGTAACGATGAAAATTGCTGCAAAGCTCATGAATTTTTTGCACCTTCGACACCTGCTACTTTTACACCAAAGTTGGTACAAAGTTTTGTATCTGCAACTCACAAGTATATTACTTTTTACAGTGTATGTTCTAAACTTGCCTCGGGGAAAGATTCTGATCTGTAATATTATATCCATTAGTTGATAATGGACTAGACAATGACATGTTAGATCACTCTTTGGTATGAATCGTGCTGTGAACCTTCTTGTATAATGAATGTGCAGTGTATGTGTTGCACAAATTTAAGGTCTTGGGAACTTAATTTGTTGGAGTAAAGGGTTGTTTGATTGTGATATTTGAGAAGTTAATTCTAACATAAAATCCCACGTAAGATAATATAGTATTTGGTTTATTGTAGAATAAATTTTTTTATGGTTGTTGTTTACCCTCGAATCCGGATAACAATTGAATTTATATGGGGTTTTAAGGATCCGTGAACTAAAAGATACAAAAGGCTTTTAGGTTGAGGAAAATAAAGATAAAGACTCAACAATTGCTGTTAAAGTAAATAATCGCAGAATATAATATTGCTTAGAACAATTGTGCTTGATGCCCCACAAGAATTTAGAGAGATACCCATTTATACATTCTGATTGAGGGTAAAAATAAGGTAGGTAAATTGATTACATCGTGGATCCCTGTAATTACGCCTTAATGGCCTGAAGTGGTTGAGAAAATCACGTTTGGGCGAGATATCCGGCGACGCTTGGTTATCCGTTACGAGCCCGGCTTCCGACCTTGTGTGTTTCTCCATCCGGTGATGATTCCTTTCGAGCTCTGTAACGGTCTCGAAATGACTCGACCTCGGTTGTAGACGTGGCCGTCGTTCTACCTTGCATCCAGGTCGGGTTCGATGGCCCCGACTTGCTCCGGACCGGATCCAACCCGGTCGGGCTCAAGCAAAAAAGGGTATCACCCAATACAAATAGTCCCCTCGTTTATTAGAGAGTAATGATAATAAACGATATGACCGGTGACGTGATGCCCGTGACGTATGGCCATACGCCAGGTGAAAAAGCCATCGAGTGCTCTGACCACGCCTGCTGCAGGCATTTAATGCTTCTCTTAATTATCTGTCGCTTCGTGTTTGTGGCTTCGTGATTCGTGCCACCGCCTCATGGAAAAAGTATAAACGACCCTTCCAGGTTCAACATTTCCTATCTTTCTCAAATTCTGCATTGGTTGTATTTTCCTTTCGTCTCTTCGTAAAGCTTTTAAGAAATGGCGAAAACTTCACAAAGTGTTCCTTCTAGACCAAGCTCGGCCGCGAGCCCCGCTAGATCTGATGAACATGCACCAGAACCCCCATTGAAAGCATTCACACCGACTGGTTGCTCGGTATCTGCCGACTTCCAGGTTGAAAACCCATCATCGGTCCCGGGCCGTGGCGAACCGGCATCGGAGTACATTAGTCTAATCACTCCCGGTTGCCTAGACCGGGTGAGGGCTGAATGTAGATGGGAAGGGAAAGACCTGGTCGCCCCTTCCCGTGACGAGTCGATTATGACTCACGTTGAGGGATATCTTAGTGTATATACATATCCCTTCACCTTAGGCCCCTTAGAACCCATCATAGTGGAGTTCTGCCGGCGGTACGAGGTGACCTTAGGTCAGATCCACCCCTCGATATGGCGGATCGTATATCTCTTTCGGTTTTTTGTTGAGAGAGTCGAGGGCGATTTCCCCTTTACCCTCGACCATCTTCTTCGACTATACAGCCCCCGAATATTTCGGGGGGGATTAATAAAACTGGCCCGCCGGGCCAGCAAACCCCCATTCTCCAGCATCGATGAAGACAAAGATCGAGGCTGGATGAGCAGGTTTGTCCGGATCAGGACGTCCGACCTGATTCCGGCCGATTGCATGCCATTTCCGGAGAGGTGGAACCTCAAACGTAAGTATTTTCTCACTGTTCATCTTTTGGAGCGTGTTTTCCTCAACTTCTTCCTGAAAACCCCCCTTTCTTGTGCAGCGGTGACCCAAACCCCAGCTGCCGTCAAGGATCTGGCCGGCTGGGTAAACAAGATAGTGGCCCAGCGGCCATATTCGGAGCGAAACTGGAAGGAAATCTCCAAAGGTCGGTGGGAGGCGAAAAACCATGGTAAGCCTTTTTTTTCGACCGGTAGCGCATTTCTTCCTGTATATCGGGAATGCATCATAACCCTCGTGTTTTGCAGGCTTGCCCAAGGACGCGGAGATGAGGTCCTCAATACTATGCCCCCTTCCGGTTCCGGGAGAAAATAAAAGGCCCGGGGAGTCCGGTACGGACGAGCCTCAAAGGAAGACTAAGCGGACAAAAAGGGCCGCCCGCAAACCAAAAAGCCAAATCGTCTTGTCCTCCGAGGAAGAGGATGACAAAGAGGATGACGATGAGGAGCAGCCGGAGCTCGTCCGCCACCGGTCCATTCGACCGGACCCTGAGCCGGTGGTCCATCCAGTTGAGGCTCCTCTCGAGGACGTGAGGGTTGAGGATGCTAGTGAACCCTCGGCCCCCGCGCGGGCATCCCCGGGTACCGATCACCCGGTTACGTCCCCTCCATCTTCCTCGACTTGGGGGCAGCTGCCGGACGACATCCCGATGATGGGAGGTAGCTTCGAGACCTTTTTTGATGGGGTACCCTCCGCCAACACTTTCGGGCTCGAAATCCCCCGGAAAGACCTTCAGGCCGAATCAAGTGGGACTTCGGCCGTCAACAAGCTTGTTGATAGGTTCCCAGCTCCGAGCCTGGACCCGGACTGTAACAGGATAGTAACTTTTGCTATCCCCAAAGACGTCCGGGCTTTGGGGCCCCCGGTCGGGGTTGCAAGCTACCTTCATCATCTGATGACGGAGGAAGACCGGGCTGCGACCGAGGCTGTAGATTGGACATGCCTTTTCAACGAAGCCCAGCAGGCGCAGCTCAAGGTATTTGCTTCTTCCTTTATTTCTAATATTTTTGCCTTGTGACCCAGTACTGACTCTTTAGACTTTTCCTTTGCAGGCATCGGTGCTATATCACTCGATGTTCCTCCGAATCAAGGACAAGATGGAGGCGGAGCGAGAGGGGCGCCGGGTCCTTGAAGAGAAGCTGTTAGAAAGCCGGACCGGATTGGACCTTTTGAATAAAGAGCACGCGTCCTGTGCTATCCGGCTGGAGGAAGCAAAGAAAGAGCTCGGTTCTAAGCTAAGAGGGGTGCAAGCCGAGCTTAATCGGGTTAAGGCCGAGCTTGACGAGAGCAGAGCCGAACTTAATGAGAACAAAGCCGAACTGGAAGCCCGGGTGCAACAGTTGGAGTCGGAGAAGACTTCCCTTCGGGAAGAGGTTGCGGACTTGACGTTGGCCAATGAGGCTCGAGTCCTTGAAATTGAGTTATGGACCAATCGATTTCGGGAAGCTGAGGCTAAAGTTTCTCAGGCCGAGGAGACTGCCAACGATATGGTGGCCCAATATAGGGCCGATGCTGATGCGGCCAACCAGCAGTCAAGAATGTTAGCCGAATATGCGAAGTGTCAGGCCCGGCTTGAAGTTCTTACTGAACTCCAACGTCGCGGTTTCGATCTTGCATCGGACGTCGCCAAAGCCGCCGAAGCTGAGGACGCTTCGAGAAGGGCGACGTTCCCCGAAGAATTCGAGGATGGCTCCGATTGACTCCGGGAATAGGCTAGGCTTTGTTTTGTTTTTCCCCTCTTATGTAATTGCTCCGGTAGCGAGCTTTTTTATGCAACACTGCCCTTTGCCATTTATTGCTCCTTTTTCCATCTTGTTATTACTTTGCCTTTTATCTTTTTGGAACGATGGTAGTCCTTTATATTTTTCGAAATAGTCTCCGAGTGAATGTATTCGAACTCAGGTGAATTTCGACCTTCGGGTTTTCTCAAGGCAGTCCCCGAGTGAGTTGATTCGAGCTCGGGTGAAGTCTAACCCTTAGGTTTCTTCGAAGCAGTCCCCGAGTGAGTGGGTTCGAGCTCGGGTGAAGTCTAACCCTTAGGTTTCTTCGAAGTCAGTCCCCGAGTGAGTGGGTTCGGACTCGGGCACAATTTGACCCTCAGGTTTTGTATCGATTTTACGCCTTTTTCTTAAGGTCTTACAAGTTCGAGTATACTTCGCCTTTTAGTGAAGTCGATGATGAAGCCGGTATTACCTCTTTTTGAGATTTTATGAATTTG